ACGTTTGTACCTTGTGGGTTGTGTTATGGGCATGGGAATTTTGGTTAAGTTTCGTTGGGGTTTTTTAGAGTTGTGCTGTCCCGTTGGACTCGCCTAACAGATTTATATATATAGATTACATTGTATATAATGTATATCTATCAGGCATGGGCAAACTTTTTGATGCCAGGCACCCCAACAGCCGGCCACCCAGCCTTTGTAATAATAATAATAATAATAATAATAATAATAATAATAATAATAGCAGAAAGAAGCCATCCAGTTCAACTCCCTTTCGCCATGCAGGAAAAGCAAATCAAAGCACCCCCAACAGATGGCCATCCAGCAATACTACTACTACTACTACTACTACTAATAATAATAATAATAATATAGTTCAAAGGGACCCCCAAAAGTCATCCAGTACAACCGCCTTCCTTCTGCCATGCAGGAAATTCACAATCAAAGCACCCCCAACAGATGGCCATTCAGCATTAATCATCATCATAATCATCATAATCATAATGAAATATAGTTCAAAGGTACCCCCAAAAGCAATCCAGTCCAGCCACCTTCCTTCTACCATGCAGGAAAAGCACAATCAAAGCACCCCCAACAGATGGCTACACAGCTTTTGTAACAACAACAACAACAACAACAGAAACCCCAGGGGCCATACAGTTTAGTTTGGAGGAGGAAGGAGGAAAACACAGAACCCCTCCAGTACCAGTATCATTATCATCATCATCACCATTTTAATCATCATCATCATCATCATCATCATCGGAGCCTAGTGTCTAGATCTAGGGAAGTCATGCTCCCAATGCTCTATTCTGCCTTGGTTAGACCACTTTACCTGGAATATTGTGTCCAATTCTGGGCACCACAATTCAAGAGAGATATTGACAAGCTGGAATGTGTCCAGAGGAGGGCGACTAAAATGATAAAAGGTCTGGAGAACAAGCCCTATGAGGAGTGGCTTAAAGAGCTGGGCATGTTTAGCCTGAAGAAGAGAAGGCCGAGAGGAGATATGGTAGCCATGTATCAATATGTGAGAGGAAGCCACAGGGAGGAGGAGGGAGCAAGCTCGTTTTTTGCTTCCATGGAGATTAGGACAACAAGGAACAATGGCTTCAAACTACAAGAGAGGAGATTCCACTTGAACATGAGGAAGAACTTCCTGACTGTGAGAGCCGTTCAGCAGTGGAACTCTCTGCCCCGGAGGGAGTGTGGTGGAGGCTCCTTCTTGGGAAGCTTTGAAACAGAGGCTGGATGGCCATCTGTCAGGGGTGCTTTGAATGCAATATTCCTGCTTCTTTGCAGAATGGGGTTGGACTGGATGGCCCAGGAGGGCTCTTCCAACTCTAGGATTCTATCACCATCATTATCTTTATTTATACCCTGCCTTCCTCCCCATGGGGACTCAAGCCAGCTAACAGATATCCACACTAGACAGTCTAAAAAGAGCAATACAAAAGTTAAAAAACCAATTAAATAGTAATGGTGTAGTAAAAACAGAATCAAAATACAGTAAATACACAGTAAAATGGCCTTTAAAACCCAAGGGCTCCGCAGAGCACAGTTTAGGAACCACTGGGTTAGTGTATGAGCTGGACTGGCTTGCATTTTCCACAGAAATCAATGAGGGGAGAGGAAGACTGGATTGTCCTCCCTTTCTGAAATCTCTAGCATTGTAAGGAGGGAGATGCTGGGAGTTGTCCACGCTCTTGTCACATC